TTTCTTTTCTACATTATTTATTTTCTTCTATTTATTTTTGAGTAATTTTTTATATAGTTTTTTTCTTTTCTGCATTATTTATTTTCTTCTATTTATTTTTGAGTAATTTTTTGTATAGTTTTTTCTTTTCTGCATTATTTCTTTTCTTCTATTTCTAGTTTGTACACGAAGTGCGTTCAGTTTTTTCCGTGACCCTCTCTACTCTTTCGCACATGCTATGCGGGTGAAATGATGATACCATGCCAAGTTTCAACATTTTCAGAAGTCATTTTGTAGTGATTTTCAATTTCACGGTCATTTAGCTCTCTAAACAATTAGGTAAATGACCGAAAACAACAAATGATGCCAGAACATGTTGGAAATTGATGACGTCGCTTTGAATTGTGCATACTGAACACAACAGAAGTCCGGAGTTCAAATAAGTTTAAAAAACATTGAAGTGCCCGTGTAACAGATGAGTTCTCGTCCGAAACCCTGATACTCTGAAAGAGTTTGTCCAGTTTGTACACGAAGTGCGTCCAGTTTTTGCCGTGACCCTCTCTACTCTTTCGCACATGCTATGCGGGTGAAATGATGATACCATGCCAAGTTTCAACATTTTCAGAATTCATTTTGTAGTGATTTTCAATTTCAAGGTCATTTAGCTCTCTAAACAATTAGGTAAATGACCGAAAAACAACAAATGATGTCAGAACATGTTGGAAATTGATGACGTCGCTTTGAATGCTGCATACTGAACACAAAAGAAGTCCGGAGTTCAAATAAGTTATTAAAAATAAAAAAGAGGTGCAATGCTGGTTAATTTGCTTCAAGCCATTCGGAATAGTGTAGACTGCACTGCACATAGCTCAGTGCAATCTATGCTATTCCGCAAGGCTTGAAGCTAATCAACATGCAGGTGAGCATTGCAACTCTTCATCATTGTCTGTGCACTCACGGATTATAAACCGCTCATACTGCCTCTCTCTTGGCGAGGCGGGACTAAAAATCAGCTTACTAAGAAACTCTAATACCGATTCAGGGCATGAACCGGTACTAAAGGTCTTTGTGGGGGCCCCAGCCTGACCATAGCCTGACACAGCCTCATTAGTACCGGTTCGTGGCATGAACCGGTACTGAAGGTTGCCCACAAACCGGTATTAATGATGCCCGCCCGCCTAGCCGTTGGAACCGGCACTAATGGTCACATTAGTGCCAGCTCAAATTCGAACCGGCACTAATGTGCTTCACATTTGACCCTTTTTCTACTAGTGCTATTGTGTTCTGCTATTTGTTAGAGCTAAATCTAGAAGACCCCATAGTATGGTATCCTAAGCTAGGCTACTTGGTGCGATGGTAACAAGGTCACATGATTTACCCAAGTCCGGGCTCTCACAAAGGAGATAATATCTGCGTCCTGCTCTTTGCTTTATTGCATTGGGGTGTACTGAGAGGTTGTCAGTTATCTATCTACGAGCCTGGCCCCTAGCTTATATAGCATACCGGGGACCCTAGGGTACATGGATCCTAGTCAACTACATACGTGGATCTAAGATAAAGCAAGTTTATCTCTATGTTCCTTTACTGTTTGCAAGTTATCAACTATAGACAATTGCTTTGCATCACATTTCTTATTGTTACACTTTTTATGAGGCTACATCAGATAATCATGTTCATGTCGAGTTAACATTCACAATAAAAAAATTGTTGTTATCATCTACCTACTCGATAATGAGTAAGGATTAATCTTGGGGATTTTGATACATCTAAAATATATATATAATCTTTGCTATGTTCATGCTATATTTTTATGCCATTATTACATAGTTTTGACACCTTTTCATATAGTTTTATTGGACTAATTTAAATGGTCAAGTGCCAAGTGTCATTTGATGTTTTCTACATGTTCTTGGAATTTAGAGAGATAATATTGTCTGGGGACCAAAAATAAAAATAAAAATATGTTGCAAAGTTTTAAGTCATGAGAGTCATCATGGGCCAAGTTCAGGCCACGAGGTGGTGCCACGCCGCCCTCTATGGTTCCTTTACGCCATCTTTCACACCCTACACCTTGATATATCTAACAACCCTCTAGAAAGATTTATCAAGGTTTTTTTCGCCGCCACCACCACCATGTGTTCCGAGGTGATCCAATCTAGACGTCTTTTCGATACTCTGTGCGAGGGGGAATTCATTACCGGAGCTATATTTTCATCAACCTCGCTTCTCCAATAACCATGTGTGAGAGGTCCTCCTTGGACTATGGGTCCATAGCGATACTATGTTGCACCCTCTCTCCCTTGTTCTAAAATACAATGAACAATTTATGATTAGATTATATATGTATATTTATTTGGTTTCTTTGCTACATGATTTATAGACATATTTTTTTGATTTATTACTCTTTTAGTGACCATGATTAGATGAATGATCTCCAAGAGGGAGTTGCGTATGTTAGTTGCGTTTAACCTTGCAAGTAATCCATCTCAGTGAGAGAAAGAGAAAAAAAAGCTTGTATTGTGTTATTACCACTAAGGACAAAAAACAAAGTTGAGTAGTTGTATCAGTGATGAGCTAGAGGTAAACGAAACACAATATATACATTATATTACTTTGTTTAGTGCAATTTTCCGCTTTTACTTAGTACTTAGAGTTGTATGCTCGATAGCTGTCTCGGGTGGAGTATTAACTATAGACACAATCAGATAACAGTCTATGAATACAAGGACATAGTGCTTACAAGCAATCATGGCACGCACTATTAACCATAAACACTTCAGTTAATTGATATGCAACAGTAATTTGTTCACCACACCTATGATTTATTGAAGAGATGCCACTTGTGAAGTTATGGATCCATGGTCCTTCATTCCTCATAATCACAACCTCCATTACTTTATTTATAGTTCTTTTTATATTCTGAACATTTACTTTCATTGCCAATAAAACTTAGTTCCAATCACACTATATGTTAATACTTGTAACTAGCAAGGCTAGTGAGATTGACCACCTCACTAGAAGTGGTGGGGACCAATAAAAGTGTCTTAGTTGTGTGCATGTACTAATCATAGGATTTTGGAAGAAATATGCCTTATTGTTTCAACCGAGGGAAAAACTTGCTTCGTACAGCAAAGCTTTGCGCTTCAGGGCCCAACGTGATATTAACTGAACATGCATAATACCTAGTTGGGGATATCATGAAATAGGTAGCTAAGTGTCGAGTGTTAGTTCCTTGACTGGTTTGCATGTATTATTGTCATAGATGCTTACCGTTTCACATAGAGGTTCTACGCGCTCCGGAAAATAGTATTTCCTAGGCTACCTTGAGAGATTCCCGAAGGAAGTACTTCTGAAACTAATAGAAAATCTTAACAAGGAGCTACTGTTGACATTAACGATCTATTCATAGATATGGTAATAACTCTACAAGTTGAGAAGGCATTGAGATAGCTTGGTGCTCCATCAAGATTTACTAGTATTAAATATCCTATGTTCATGCCTAGGAACTATGCTGTGGAATTTGCTATTGGCACTGATTTTATCCACAAAGTTGGTGATAAAGCCTATTAACTCTTTGTGGGCATTCTGGAAGCATAAGAATGCAAATTGTTTTCGATGGGGAAATGCCATCCTTGCAGCAAGTAGTCACCAACATCAAGAGAGAAAGTAGGAGTTGGAGCCAAGCAGGTCTTCTAAAGGGCGGCATGGATGCTTTCTACAGTGGCATGGCAAGATGGGGTAGTGCGAGTAGCTAGTATTAGAGTGTGCATGGACATGTGGAGCAGTGTTTGCATGTAATGATGTAATATTGCAATCATGGAGGGGACTCTTCTCCTCGCCTTCTCCTTTAATACTATATGATACACACACTCGTCCATATTCTAAAAAGAAGAAGAGTCATGCCGCGTGATATGTCGATAAACATTCTCATATAACTAAAAATCAGTACGAAAAAAATACCTAAAGCAAAATATCTATTCTTGGCCAGTTTGATAAAGATAACGTTTGGTCTTCTAATTCTATTTCCACCAAAAGTGGTACGGAAACATAGGACCCAAAAGGACCAGTTTTTCTTTTACGGGACAAACTTCTGACCTATTCATTTTCAATCATGGTAGTACAACGAATACTAGAAATAATAAAAATTACATTCAGATCCATAGACCACCTAGCGACGACTACAAACACTGAAGCAAGCCGAAGGCGCGCCGCCGTCATCGCCCCTCCCTCGCCGGAGTCGGGCAAACCTTATTGTAGTAGACAGTCGGAAAGTCGTCGTGCTAAGGCCCCATAGAACCAACGCACCAGAACAACAACTGCCGCCGATGAAGAGTGTAGAATAGAATGATCCAACCTAAAGACACATAAACAAAGACGAACAAAGAACAGATCCAAGCAAATCAACCGAAATCAGATCCACCAAAAGGACCAGCTTATATGAAGAAGACCAAGCTTAGAACAGGAAAGAAAGCCAAAAGTAAAGTTTAGTGGAAGAAAATTTGGAAATCCGCAAGACGATGCGGAAATGAACTCTCCTAGACGAGAAATATAAGATCAAGATAAAACACTAAAGACATCGAAGAAACTGGTTCTGATACCGAAACAACAAACACACGAGATAGAGAGGAGATGGGTTGGGACAAGAAGAAGTTTAAAATAAATATAAGATCTAGTGTCGAAGATCTCATTGCAATGGATTTAATAGTGAAAACAGATTGCGAATCAGACTAACGATATTTGAGCTAGCTGCTAATAATTTTAAATTTCCGAAATAGGATAAAATCTTGCTTACATCAGCTTCACTATAGCGTTCACTATATATTACAGTACTTTGTTAAATTATTAAATATGAGTCTTTTGTTACAAGCATCGTTGACGGGTTTTGTAATGGTAGTTCTACTAATGGGCTATTTTATAGTCTGTCGGTGGAGAAAGTTCAGCAGAGGGTCTTTTGGTAGGAATCACCCCCGAAAAAGGAAGAAGCAAAGGTTCTTTTGGCGCAGTGATTTGCATGAGCATGACTACATGACGGAGCAGGCGTTTGGGTTGTCGTCGCTGAAGAGCGTGGCGAGGCGCTCCTCCTGGCCGGCGGAGACCGGCATGGCACCTTCCACCTTGCGCACGTGGCCGGCGGGAGCCCGCTTGTCGTACACCGGCGGCATGTAGGGGTTTGTGTAAGGCACGTACGGCCAGAGCTCGGCCCGCTTCCCCGTCGACTGGACTCTCCTCAGCACACGCTGCGGCTCCACGAACCCCTTCACCGTCACCTTGTGCTGCTTCCGGTTGATCTCCACCGACTGAGCACCTGCATGCGCGTGCGACCAATTAACACCATCCCAATCATAAGTTCATTAACCATGCGAGCATGCAACGCGACACAGAGTGAATAGTGGCGCGCTTCGCCGAGTTACACACCTTTCATGTTGGCGAGGGTGTTCCGGATCTTGAGCTCGCAGCCGTCGCAGTCCATCTTCACCTTGAGCTCCACCGTGTTGAACTGCCTCCGCTTCTTGCTGTGCCGCCTCTGGCTGCTGCTACCTAGCAGCACATCCGACAGGAAACGCAGGGTGCCTCCCATTGCCTCACCTCGCTCGATCACCTGGCTCTCTTTCTTCTAGTCTAGAATCACAATAACGGAGGACAGGAATTGGTTTCTGCAAGTGGCCAACGGATTAGCACGAAGAAGAGAAGGAAATATGGTTCAAGTATGAACTCCAAGCGTGGCTAATTAGCTGAGAAAATACAGGAGATATTGAAGGCAGATGCTTGCTTAATTGGCTTGCTTAACTGGCTAATGGTTGTACATTTATAGATACGTTGCAACGAGGACGGGAATGTGTGCAGCTATATTGGGTTGTTGAGAAGAAGCTTCCTTTCCAAAGATGCCTTATTCGGCTATTCCTTCAAACCTTTAATTTGGCTTTCCTACCGCTGAGACAGCTCACTCCTCTTGCACTCGATCGCCCTTTTCTTCCAGCTCGGATCAAATCAAGCCCTGGGTCTTTTGGAGCGTCTACAGCCGGGCTTTTCAAATGTCACCTATAGATCCACCCCGATCAGTCGGTCACAAAATCACGACCGAGACAGCCCCATTAAACCGGTCTATTCGTTCGGGCTATTTGACAGCTCTCATATCAAGCTCACATATACGACGAATATAAAAAAGCCTATACGCGCCCGGACGCGTCCACCAATCAGATCAGTCCCAAATTTCATCAAATTAACCAAGTCCATCAAATCGACCCCTCTCCTACCGCGT